AGCAAAATCTGACTATTTACTATTTATGAATAGTTTAGAAGAGAATTTTGCATTAGATTGAGAATTGATATTGATTTGATTGAGATTATTCCTTCTACTCTAAGACATTTTCGTTCTATCATCTATTATCTATTTTTAAACGCTTAACCCTCATATATGAGACATTAATCAATGTCTGTTGGTTTCCCACAGATACACCACTTCCAAGTTTTATTATTACAAACAAATTCTAGAAAATACAGATTACTTAAAAATTCATCATTTTATCAATGTGAAACAAAAGTAGGAACATAGGAAGATGACATTTCATATTTAAAGGATATGACACAAAGCTGCCTTTCCCTCTTTTTAAAATTATACATACAAACTGGATATACTGTAAATAGTATCTGGCTAGATATATATCTATCTGATAAAAAAAGCAGTATTTCCCACTATGATGAAAACATTTTATTATCATGTTCAACAGCTAAACTTAAAGGTTTTTCTCAATGTATAATGTGGAAAGCAGTTTAATGATACAAACTCCTAACCTCCACCTTTTAGAATATCTGATCCCAAATCCTAAAGCAGGGTCCATGAATGTATATAGAAAATAAGGACCCTACATTATACAAGTGCTGTAAAATGACGACCAGCAACAGGAAAATAACATGACAATAATGAGTTAATACACATCAGTTATAACCATCAATGTCAATGGCCTCAATTCACCAATCAAAAGAAATAGACTGGCAGAATGGATAAAGAAGCAAAATCCAAAAATATGCTGTAACAAAACCTTAGGAGCATGGGAACTAACACAAAGAATCAACAACGGGGATCTCATCTTTAAAAAAAGCTTCTGCACTACCAAAAAAATCACAAGCAGAACTAAGAGACAACTGACAATGTGGGAAAAAAATTTTACCAGGTTTTCCTCAAAGGTCTACAATCTAGAATATATAAGGAACTTAAAAAAAAAAATCAGACCATCCCAAATATAAAGACCCAATACAAAAATAAGCATCTGAAATGAACAGGCATTTCTCAGGAAAAAAAAGTAAAAGCAGCAAATAAACACATGAAAATATGTTCAACATCACTGGTCATTCAAGAGATGCAGATGAAAACAACACTGAGATTCCACCTCACCCCAGAAAGAATGACTGCTATCAAGAAATCAACCAATAACAAATGCTGGCAGCACTGTCGGGTAAAAAGGAACCCTTCTCCATTGCTGGTGGGAGTGCAGACTGGTCCAACCACTGTGGAAATCAATATGGAGATACCTCAAAGAACTAGGACTAGAGGTCCCATTTGACCCAACTATTCCTTTGCTGGGTATCTTCCCAAAAATATTAAAAGAATCATACCACAGCAATATATGTGCACCTATGTTCGCATTGGCACAGTTTCCAATAGCTAAAACTTGGAAATAGCCCAATTTCCCAACAAGTGGAGACTTGATAAAGAAAATGTAGCATTTTTAAAAAATAAAATGGAGTACTACTCAGCCATAAAGGATGAGAAACTAGAGACACTTATACCTAAATGGATGCATATTGAGGCCGTACTCTTATGTGAAATAAAAAGGAAACATACACATGTAAATACTGAATAGCTTCTTTAGTGAGAAGCTGAAAGTGTAAATAAGGATCAGAATGTATAATATATAATGTGAAATAGAAAGAAAAGGTGCAGTGGGGAAGGGGAATGGGGAAGGGTAGGGGAAAGGCAAGAAAGGAAAGGAATAAATATGAGAAAATGAAAAAATGGAAACAAAGTCTTTGTAAATAGAGAGGGGTGGAAGAGTTGAAGGGAGGGCAGGGAATGGGGAAAACAAACTAAGAATCAAGATATATTATGTACAGGTACACATTCCCAATGATGAATGTCATTATATTGTATACCTAAAATGTACCAATAGAATTAACTTATTTTTTTTAAATGCTGAGCAACGTCAAGGAGCCAAATGCCACTAGTATTATTCATGTCTTATCTAAGGAATTTTTTATCACAGAAATGAGGTGACTTGGATCTGTGTGTGAAGCACTTTTGATACATCGATCTTTCTTATTGCACATCAAGTTGTTAATGGAAATCCAGAGCTAGAAACAATTACCTGTCCAGTTGTGTTGAGAAAACACGAACAAACCATTAGTTATTTAATTGCTGAGCTTAAGGTCCAAGAATAATCATAAGAATAGTGTCAGTGAAAACAACAAGGCCATCCAGTGACTGTGCATCGCTTATCAATGTGCAATGAAGATCTCTTACTAGAATCCAGTCTGTTAGTTATCATTGCCTTTTACCTCTCTATCACTGTCTGTTTAAAGAACAAAATGCTGAAAATATGTGAGATATAAAACTGGTTTATTTATACACAATATTGTCTAATGGTTGGTACAGTGAGGTTCATAAACTCCTAAAAGCTTTGTTCAATAATGAATAATTACAGAAAAATAATAACCATTAATTAGATTATTGTTTATTGTATAAGTATGTATCTTCCTATGGACACATGAGAAACTCTCAGTATATGCTGGCTTCAGATGTTATATTTTTCCTTTGGTACTGAATTCAAATCAAACAGAAACAAATGTTCTCAGATCAACAGAGCTGAGAAAAAAGTGGCCACAGGTTATTACATGGTTGGCAAGTCTGAGTTCACATTTAAACTTTAGGAAAACGCAATTCAAGACAACCTTGAGTTTCCATCTTACACCAGAATACAAAGAATATCAACAAGAATACAAAGGAAGAACAAAAAATCTCTTCTAACAGCAACAAGTGTTGAGGATGTGGTATGAAAGGAACTCTTCTACATTGTTGCTCAGATTGTAAACTAGTAAAATCACTATGGGAATCGATATGGAGATTCTTCGAAGAATTTAAAATAAAAAGCCCATTTGATCCAGCTATTCCTTTCCAGGGTAAATTTCCAAAAGCTTGTCATCATACTGTAGTGACACATACATAGCCATGTTCGCAGGACCCAATTCACAATAGCTAAACCCTGGAAACAGGCTAGGTTCCCACCAATGGAAAGAGACAAAGAAAAGGTGATACCGATAGAGAGAAAATATATATATCATATATGGTATTGTATGCAGGCATAAAGTAGAATAAATTTATGTCATTTACAGGAAAATTAATAGATCTTAATATTATAATGTTACATAAAATAAGTCAGATCCCAAAAGTTAAATATACAATAGTTTCTCTTACATTAAAAATTCAAAATATGAATAAATTAAAGAGTAAAATAAAGGAGAAATGGTATGAAACAAAAAGGCAGACTTTTTGGAGATGGGGAAGGGGATCAGATGTTGGGAGGAATGTGATATTCCTCAAATTAATGTAAATATTATGTATTGCAACACATGCCAATAAAATTTAAAAAATAATAATAACCAATAATGAAATATAAAATATACTGTAAGATATGTTAATGTAGAAAAAACGAAAAATACACATAAATGAAAAGATTTTCAATCGGTTTGTTATTGACACACTATTATGAAGAGAAAAACAAAGTAGGGAACAAAAAGTCAGGCTTATAAGGAGGAACAAACTTTTGAGTGTACTCAGAATGATGCAATCCCTTTATCATGTAGACATGCCAGAGAGCAGGCATCCTTGACTAGAGAGAAGCCAAGAGGCTTCTGGGAGTAAGGGTTCTTCTCACAGAAAAATTTCTTCTGGACCCAACATCAAGGAAGTGAAAAAAATCAGAAAACACTCACACAGCTAGACAAGAGTGAAAGCCAACTACTTATAGATTTAGGGTTTTTTTAGGAGTAGTTTAAAAATCATAGGTTGAACTTCTGTATAGGAGGAATCCTGACCATTATGAATAATTAAAATGTTAAAAGCAAAGTAAATGAATGGTTAGTCCTTCACTTAATCAAAATTATAAACACTGGAAAAATATAATCTGTGTACTGAATAAGAAATTTGTGCTTAAATTTTACACCAATAAAAATTAAAATACTATAATTATGGAAAATAAGAAATGTGCAAGCAAGCAAATGGCACTTATATGATAAGTTCCAATCTATGAATGAAAGCAAAAGAGTTCAGTATGAACTCTTAGGAGTGAAATTTTAGGAGTGAAATTAATATCTTCTAGTGAAGACTTATTATTTAAATTATATGCAAGCATAATTCACCACAAATCAGTAAATTATGTTTCTGAGGAAAGATAATTTTGCCTCATTCTATAATTTCAAAATCTTATAATTGTAACTAAAATACAGTGATTTATTTAATTATATGATAAATCCTCTATGATTATCTGCCCACTCATTACATGCTACTATGTTAGATTCTTGGTTTATACAAATACAATTCAGAAGTGACTCACTAGTCTCCAGTTACCTCAAAACTTAATGAAAGCCAGAGTCATAAATAACAGATTAAAACAATATGTAAACTTTAATGTTTTCATAATAAATGTATAAAGTTTAATCAATCTAAAAGAACTTCTCAAAATATTATCTCTGCATCACCCTTTTAAAAATAATAGCATTTTGTTCTGTTATCCCCCCATAAACACAGTGAAAAAATTACCTTTAGTTTTGAGAGGAAAAATAAGCACGATGTGGTAGAATATAAGAAGACAGTTGCAAAGAATATACTACGGTAGTTCAGTGAATGAATGAGAAGAAATTCTCTGGACAGGAAAAGAACAAGAAACAATAGATGTGGAGACAAAACAGAGAAGGAAGGAAATTATGCTTTTACGGGGAAAACAATAAAAATAAAGAGGAAATAAACTTTATATACACTTCACAAATTTTCTTAAGGCCATCTTTTCTTTCCAAGTTATATACGAATCATGAATAAACTGAGTTTGGGTTTGTACAGAAAATTTTCATCTCTAAAATATTCTTTCTAGATAGTCCAATGGAATTTAAAGCTATGTCTCGCTTCTAAACCTTAACTTTCTGCAAAACTGTATGTAAACAGAGACATTTAAAAATATTGTTCATCAAAATGAAAAACAATCTACTTACAATTATCTGATATTTTTGAAGAGAAGAATTCCAAAAGACTTAAAATACTTGTTTCCTCTAATTCTGGCTCTTCCAATTTGTCATTGAGTAAAATTTTTTTTCGTGGACGTTTACAGCCAGAGAGACCAATAAAAGCAGTTTTCTGCAAATCAAATGTGCCTGCATACAAACAGATCTCTGCAATGATGGTTGTATATGTATGAACAACACACCAGGCCCAGGAGAGGTCATCTCCTGTGCACCCTTCCTCCTAGAATAAGGAAATAGGTATTAGGTAATCAAAGTACATTGTGTCATAATTAAGAGCTATACAGTATATTTAAAAATAATCTTCAAATTTTAAGGAGTTGTTAAAAGATCAAAATAAAATAACATTTCTAAATATTTCTAAAACTTATGTAAAAAAAGTTTTCCCTAGATAGATTGCTACAAGTGCAGCCCAAAAATAAAAATTACAAGTAGATTATAATCATATAAAAACATTCACTTCAATTTCTTTAGAAATCAATGGAATGTAAATTAATCCAGTGAAATACTACATTTTATTAATCCTTTCTAATGTGTGATATTTTCATATATTTTTTTGTAGAAACATAAAAATATTTACATCTTTGGGAAAAGAATTTGGGCATCTTGTCCCATGAATCTTTAAAAAACTCAGTAATTAAATATTGTCAATTTATTCCAAAGAAACAGTTATAAGTGCAGATCAAAATTTATGTATGAGAATGCCATTTCAACTGCGAACAATTAAAAACAGATTTAATGTTAAAAAATAAAAGGTTAAATAAAAATTCTCACACTGTAATATAACCTTTAATAAGTTACAAAATAGAAAATATTCATGATAAATAGTAAATATTATGACATGAACACTTACTTTTATATTTAATTAAAAATTTTGTACATTATATTTGCTAACATGACATACAATTTAAATAAAAGCAAAAAAAAATATGTTTCTATTCATGTCTCTTTTCACATAGAAATTAGCTAGGCTGTTACCTGTTTCTCAACGGACAGAATGCTTAAAAGAAAATCTCGCATTAGGTCCATGAAAGTTTTCAAGCAGGCCATATTTAATTTGGCAGCTTCTCCAAGGACCAGCAAGGCCAGTACTAAGTCCAACCTGGATTATGAACAAATAGCAAAGACTTTAATGAAAAACAACAATAAGCAGTTTTTTAATGAAAAAGTAATAACTCAGAGGAATGAATATTTGGAATAACAAGTTACACTTATTTTCAGTAAAGGCTGGAACTGGTTGGCACTGATTAAAAGACAAAAGTCTACAAAAGAAAGATCAACATTTTGGCAAAATTTTTATAGTTAGAATAATTCTCCGAAAAACTCTGGGAGAAATAAATAATCCAAATAATCACATTTCTTCATAGATCCTTTATGACAGAACTTCCAAGGGCTTTAGTCTTTTGTTTTAACTAATTCTATGGGGTGGATTTCAAGAATGTTTTCTTCTTAAAACAGAGAACAAATAAAAAATGGTCTTCCCAGATACTGCAGAAATTCTGTATTATTTAATTTTTCAGAAAGTACAATTTCTCAAAATAAAAATTAATTTCAAATGAATAAAATACTGTTATATATTATAGTGAAAATATTATATAATTATTAAAATTATTCCAGAACTTGTTAATGATAAATGTACATATATTCTGACATTTTTGGGAAACTAAACATCAAGTGCTATTTTGCCCAAGTAAAAGAGACTGATAAAAATACAAGTATAAAAGCCTCTGCCTAGAGCTGCTTATTGCCTTGATTTATAGATCACTAATAAATTTAAAAGTTAGTATATTTCACAAGTATATTTAAACTTTACAACCATGATATGTCAGACTACTAGGCTCGAATTGAAAAACAATTTTAAAAGGAAGCACCTCTTCTCATGAGAATAAAATGAGTTCAACATATTTGGATAAGGCTTTGAAGAACTCAATATGCTTTATA